AGTCCATGAGGTCCAACAATATGATCCACTCATTCACAACCAACTTTCACACTTAGATCTCCTATCACTATGACCACGTCTTGAGGCTTGCATTGTTTTTTCGCTTCATCAGGGTCTTCATAGAAATGATCAACGCCCTCCTTCCCCACTTTTAGCTGTCAGTCTATAGACTTGTATTATTGCAATGTTGAAAGGTTTAGCTTTTATTTTCACAAGCATCACTCTATCAGGCATTGCCCAAAAACATGCAAACGTTTTGAGGTTTCTTCATCCAAAATCAATCCAACTCCCTTTTCATGCATCTGACTTCCTGAATAGATGATCTTCAGATCTTCTGAAACAGTAATTCCAGCCTCTTTTCCAATGTGTTTCACACAGACCTAGAATATTGATCTTTAATCTCTGCATATCATGCTTGACATTGTCCCATTTCCCAATTTGGTGTACAGTCCTCACATTTCACGTTGTCATTTTGACTGCTCTCTTCTGAGTTTGGACAGGAGCATGCTGACGGTCATGAGTCACCTGTCACACGTGACTATCCTCACTGGGCAAGGTGTCCTGACCTTCTCTGTCAGGGACCATCTTCATGCCGTTGTGATATCATTGAAAGTCCATGGATTAATGAAAGTCCACTGCAGTAGGTTGCCACTTTGTGCTACAGTGCTCAGCTAACTTGAGCAAGTTCCTCTGTTGTCCCAGTTGCATCAGGCATCCACCAGATGAGATGATCCACTGTTCTGCACCCCCAATGGCTTCAACCCTGGTAAGGGAGGCTGATTGGGGCAACACCTTGCCTAAGGGTGACACAGAGACTTCAGTAGCTAGAGAGTACTTGTCTCACTATTACCCTAACAGTTAAAACTGTCCTACTGCTGGATGCAGCTTAACGTCATACCCAGGGCCTATAGTAAAGGAGCCCGACTAGAGAAAAAGGGTGGAAACCAGGAAGGCTGAGGCCCTGACACAGGCTTGGAGGCCTGAGAAGGCCAGACATTGTACTGGGGTAGGGGGTCTCATTGGAGTGATTAGCCAGCATCTGTGAGACATGGAAATGGCTGTAGGGGTGGGAGGAGGTCATGAATAGCCCTTTAGGTAACAGGTACCCTGGGGGCACAGACAGGCAGGAGGGCCCATCTGGCATGAGAAGGGTAAGAGTGAGAGCCAGCAGGGTCCCGGAGGGAAAAAGGAGCATACCCCAGGAGCTGGAGTAGGGCAGGAGCCGCATAACCACTAGAGGGCATCATCTCCACACCTGGGAGGGATTGATCTTGTCACAACCAGATTGAGTTCTATGTTACATTTTTCACTGATACATCAGCATTAGTAAATTTACATGAAATGTAATCTCAAATGTGCACACAAGTTTAAACTATGTGCATGTTTATGCAGCCTATTCCATGTCTGACAGTAGAAAAATCATATTCAATAAATATTGAAGGTCTTTTAACTAATATAATCATTCTGGTTATGTCTGTTAATCATACAGTACAAATACTAATATTGAAAGTGTGGTTAGATCTAAAGCAAGATTAAATGAAAAGATCCATAATTAGCTTAATATTAGGTGATTGTCATTGGTTTTGCTAAAAGCTAAATTTGTTTGTAAACTCTATTGAGGATATATATATATATGCAGTGTACATAGTACTGTATACTGTGGAAGTAGCGCTGCATTTAAACAGAATGACATCCCTAAAGCCCTCAGGAAATTGAACTACATATATTATTTCATGATTCTGTTGGTGATATTGAAAGTACCATAAACAAAGGCGGTGGAAGAAGTGTTTTTAAAATCAACTCTTCCACTCCAGGCTTTGATTATGATACTTGTGGTGCCATTCACTCTGGCAGAGAAACATGGGCATCTGGAGCTCACATTTCTCATGATTTTTATCTTTCAAATTATCCTTCAAAATCTGGTCCAAAATGTATTTTAGAAATAAAATGATATCCCAGTCCCATGCCTCTTGGATCCCCAGTTCATCTTTTCCTCTTCCTTTAGTAGTATTATGAACTAGAGTCAGTGGAGTCATAACCAGAGATTTTGTTTCAAGTGACAGTGTTTTAAAAAGGAGTCGTCGTTGTCATCATCATCATCAAATTGAAAGAGTAGTATTGATTCCTCAGACGAATGACTGCCCCTTGAGATATGCTCTAGGGCAGTGCTTCCCAAACTTTCCATCAGCATGACCCCACTTATGACCCCATTTTGTCAGCATGACCCCATTTCCTCAGCATGGCCTCTCATGCCCGAGCCCTGGCTGCCGCCTGTGGAACGCAGCGATTGCTGCAGTTGGAGCAGGGTGCAGAGCCCAACTACCCCTCCCAAGCCCCCGCCACGGGCAGCACAGTGGGAGTGGAGCCCATGGGAGAAGTGGAGGAGGCTGGAACTCTGCCAGCCTCCAAGAGGCAACCTGCATTTTCCCCATGTTTTTCAGTCTGGAAAACCCAGATCCTTGTTTGTCGTGACCCCATCCGCTGATGTTGCGACTTCATTTGGGATTGTGACCCACAGTTTGGGAACCACTGCTCTAGGGTATTGAAAGAGGCAAGTATTTTCTTGCATGTTATACATCCCAAAATAAAACACGCACCTTGCTTTTGGAAGGCAGAATGCAGAAAAAACGTTTTTTTCCAGAGTCATGACTGACTGACATAGATCAAGACCCTCCTGAAAACAGGGAGCGTTCAAGAAGTGTGGCATTGCAGGCAACAGTTTGCTGCATCAGAAACTTCCTAGTGTGTCTCCTGTGATGCCACATTTCCTGAATAGTATGTTTCCAGGAGGACTTAATCTGTCATAGACTAGGGGTGGGCCAAGTCCGACCCGCGGACCACATTGAGCCCATGGCAAACTCTATTTCCCAGCAGCCCTGGCTCCCAGCTTGTCTCCATGGAACCCCCAGGAGCGCGGGGACGTGACAGCACAGGGCCACCGATCCGGGGCTCCGCCTCAGCCCAGCCTGGCCCCATGCTGTCACAGCCCCACGCTCCTGGGGTCTCTGTGGAGACTGGCCAGGAGCCCTGTGGAGAGGGCACATGGCCAGGTGGGAAGCTGCTCTGGGGCTGGGATTTTATGGTGACAACATGGGCAGGGCTGGGGCAGAGCCACAATCTGTTGCCCACATACCCCTGCAATGAGCACGGGTTCCATGAGCAGGGGCGCATGAGCAGTGGCTTGCAGCTCTGCCCCAGCCCCACCCCATGCTGTCACTGCTGCAAGATCCCAGCCCTGGAGCATGTCTTCGCTTGGCAAAGTACACTACCCGTGCTGCTCCTGGCTGGTCTCCATACAGACCCCAGGAGCGTGGGGGTGTGACAGTGCGGGGATGGGCTGGGGCACAGCCCTGGATCTGCAGCCCTGCACTGGCATGGTCCTGTGCTGTCACACCCCCACACTCCTAGGGTCTCCACGGAGATCAACTAGAAGCCAGGGCTTCCTGGAAATGGAGTCTAGCCACCAGCCAGATCTGCCATTTTCCTCATCCCTGCCCTAAACCCTGGTGAAGAGCAGCAGCAGGGGTGGGTCGTTCTATAAATTCCCACAAATACTGTACTGTTTGCACACCAGAAGCATCATCAAGATGCTAGCAACAGCCCACTTCCTGCTTTGGGCACAACCTATAGTGCTCAGCCAATAGCTACAGCTGTGAGAGGGTAACACAAGACTCCTCCCCTATAGTTTGTTTAGCAGACGTAAGTGGAAGCCCTCTTTGCAGCTGCATAGCATGCACAGGGTTTCCAAGAGTGCTCCTTGGGGGTGCTGATATTGGAGGAAAAGGTGTGTACTGTATGTTAGAAAATACAGTATGTTTGACTATAAAAATTCAACACCAGATTCATCATACTGAATGAAATGAATCTGTACCAGAAAGTGAAAAATGTAGAAACAAGATTGGATACGCTGCTCCCAAAAGTTCACCTGCAGAGGTGGAACTGGTGGAAGGCTAAGAAACAGAAAAAAGGATAACATATAGGAAAATTACTATAAATAGGGTGATATAAAATTTAGAAGTGAAAATGAGTAACTTAAGAGCTAGATCCAAATTGGCTTTGTAGGCACTTGAACAAGATTTAGGTACTCGGATCACAAAAAGCGATTCTGATGGACTAGACTTCAGTAACACCAAAACTGCTTAGGTAGTCTGATGGGCTCTGGGCCCGAAAATATCTTTTAATCACCTAGATTTTGGCTACTGTACATCTTAAAAAGCAATTTGTATTTGTCATCTTAGAACCCAAGTTCCAATGTGAGTTGGATCAGTTCTGAGAAGCACCTAAAGTCCACTTAAGTCCTCCATCCCTTAGGCAGCCATAGAGGAACTGCTTCACATTGATAGAGTGCATATACCCGTAGTTCATTAAAAAAAATAGGAGGAGCAGAAGGTGCCTACCATTTGTCCAGTAGCTGAGTGATTAGAGGACTCACCAAAGGAGTGGGAGACATGTGTCCCTTCCTAGCTTGAGGGGTTTCAAAATTGCATGTCTTACCTCCTAGGAGTGTCCTAAACACAAACCTGTAGAACAGCCTGGAGCAAAGCAACCCCCATCCTTCTTTCAACTGGGCTACTGCACTCTTAACAATGCAAGTTTATGGGACCAAAAGGAGGACAAGTGAGAAGGATCTTACCCTGGTGATATGGTCCTCTGGGGAGGAAGAACCATGGATCTATTTCTGTGCTTTTTTTTTTTTTAAACTAATGATCAGGTAATGAAAAATACACAGAGTCCCAGCAATAGGTTGCAGCTACATTTTAAGCACTGCAAGGCCTCAGTGGAGGAATCTTTGTGGTCTGGTTCTAAAACTATGCATAATGTCAGTTTTGGTTATTTGAATGGAATAATACGGATCCCATTTGTGGAATCTGCAAAGAAAATACAGCTGCAAATGTGAGAGAATGTTCCTCGGAAATTTTAAACTGATATGCAATAACTAGATGTTTAGTTGCAGAACAAGAGGGGATGCTGTCCACTAACTGCAATTATTTTAATTTTAGCAACCGTGTGGAAGCTTGGACTAGAGATGTTGATTTCCTACTTCGACAAGAAGGCAGACCAATGGTGAATCTTACTGGTAATAAGACGTATGTGAGAGTGATGGAAGAAGATTGGCAGAATACTGATAAAGCAGTATATTGGATAAGGAAAAAAGCCACTAATTTTACTCAGCCATTTGTTCTGTACTTGGGTTTAAATTTACCACACCCATATCCATCGCCTTCTGCAGGGGAAAATTTTGGGTCCTCTACATTTAAAACATCTCCCTATTGGCTTGAAAAGGTATGTAGAAATTTACAGAAATTTAAATCTAAATGACTTTGCAACTGAAATCATGTGTGTTCTTCATGTTCTATAATTCACATCATATGGAACTCAACCGCAGTATTGATGATATTGCAGTGCACTATGACGAGATCTCTGGATGAGATAGTAAGTTCATGTTTTAACATTACACATGTAGAAATGAAGAATCGTCTGTCACTCCAGGGAGAGAACACATGGCTGCTTCAGTCAGTTGCCCAGTAGTCCATGATTTAGCAAAGAATTTTTGAAGCAAAAGGGTAGGGATATATATTAACCTAAACAACTAATGGTTCCCTGCTTGCCTGTACAATACATATGCTACTGGTCTGTAGCTTATTGTTTGCAACGGGCTTTTTAACAAGTTAAATATAAAAGATGCTAATCAGTTTGCATTTCTGTTCTGTGGCTTGACCTTGCCCATGATTTGTGGAGGTTCTGTGGTAGTGACATTGTACAATGCAGATTTTTGGCCTTTCTGTTACCTGATGCTGTCTGCTTTCTAATCTAGGTCACTGTAATGAAAAGAAAAATCCAGCTACTTTCATATTTGGGAACTCAGCAGATGCCTCTCTCTCTTGGAAAAGCAGTAAACAATTTTTGTTTGCCTCTTGTATGGTCCCCAGATGCAATTTTACTATTGTCGCAGAACTGTATAAATTAGTTACCATGACTTCTACTGCATAAATGGCAGCAAGATTTCCCAGAGCCCAATAACTAAGCGATAGTTCTGAGGAGACTGTATGTATTTCCCAGATCATCTGCAGTTTATATAATCTGCCTTGTCTTCACTACTAGGGTATTGCTATCTCTATTTGTCTAGGCACAAAAAGAATTATGAGAGCTATAAAAAACATGAGTAATTAGGAAAGGTTGAAGGAATTGGTTTTATTCAGTGTAGAAAAGAGAAGATGGGGAGGGGACTTAATAACAGTCTTTCAGTACATAAAAGGTTGCTGTAAAAAGGACAGTGATCAGTTTCCCATAGTTACTGGGGGAAGGACAAGAAATAGCTTAATTTGCAGCAAAGAACATTTAGCTTAGATATACAGAAAAATCTTTTTAACTATAAAGATGATAAAACCCAGGAACAGGCTATGGAATCACCACCGTGGAAAGATGGTAAGAAGTGGTTAAATAAATATCTGTTTGGACTGGTATAACTATGTTTGATCCTGCCTTAGTGCAAGGGTCAAACAAGATGATCTCTTAAGGTTCCTTCCAGCCTTGTATTCCTATAATTATGACTGTGCCCTTTATAATAATATCTGAGAACCTTTCCCACCCTTTAAAATTGAGATAATTATGATCAGACTCTTCTTCCTTTATCCCTAACCAGGGAACACATAGCTGCAGTAGCCATTCAGTTTTTCAAAACCTATTGTTATTTTGATGTGTTTAGGGCACTATGCCACGGCATGTGGTATCACAGAGATGGGTTTCACGTTCAATTTTGAATGCAGCGAGGCTTCAGTCTCTGAGCTTCAGGAGGGAGTTGCTTAATCCAAGTGCAGCTGTTGTGGTCTCTCAAGCATTTAGGACTAGTCTTATGGAGTGTTTTGAGTCTTTGAGGACAAAGACCTGACATCAGTTTTATGTTCAGTCTGGAATAACTGCAGAGTGCAGCATCAGGACTAGGTGTTTATGATAGTATGTTGCTAAGCAGATGGTCCTCTGCATTTTGTAACAGTTGGCATTTTTTCAGGGCATGTGGCTTTGTTGCTAGACAGGAGTTGCAACAGTAAAGCAGAGATCATGAACACGTGGTTCACTATGACTAGGTCTGAGTCTTACAGGGAAGGAAAGGTTCAGTCTTCAGACCAGTCACAGATGGGAGTGGGCATTATTTTGCTTCTATAGCTATTTGAGTAATAAAATTGTAGGTTCTAAAAGGTCAAAAAACTTGACTCAGAGTGAGGCCACATGCCTTCAATAATAAGGGACGTTTTAGAAACCATTCTTTGGTATTTCCCTCTTCCCAGTGACATTGCACAAGCCTTGCCTGGCTCCACATATAACCTGTTCCTGATATTTCTCAGTGCCTGTCAGGGATGGTGCTCCTTATTCTTGATGTAAAGGGGATAAAGAGCTGGGGTTTGTCACTGCTTGCTGCTGGCATTTCTGTGCTTCCTGTTTCAGCAGCTCTTTCTGACTTCAGATAAGTGACGTGATAATATGGGAGATAATATTCACCCTTGTGGGAGGCAGGGCTTTTGAGGTTGAAACTTATGGCTGTAATAACCCTCTGGGGTTGGGCAGAGGAGGAGGACTTGGGGCTTTTTAGAGTGTTTCAGGATACACCTGTTACCTGTTGGTGGTGGGACAACAACATTTGGTTGCTAAAAAGTACCAAATACTGGAGGATCTTCCAGGCTGTATATGGATGTATTTCTCTGTGAATAGGCAGTAGTCATTCACTTGCGCAACAGTTGCCTCAATATCAGGTCTGGCTTGAAGTCTGAGATGGGTATAAAATGCTGGTAGCTGATAGATGCACCTGTAGTCTGATTCTTGCGTTGGCTGGATAGTGTTGTATGTAATCAAGATATGGTAAAGGTGGAGAGGCAGGATATTTGGATGCTAGTGCCTGGTATGGGGAGCCTTTGTCAGTCTGGTAAGCACTCTGCTACTGAAATTTTCTGTTTCTGAAGTCCCAAAAGCGCTAAGCAGGTGGGCAGCAGGGATTCTTTATTTTCCTTTCGTGTCCTCCATCAGATCTACAATGTTTCTCCTGGTAGTACATGTATGTATATGTTCAGCAACTAAATGTTAAAGTCATTAGAGCCTTTGGAATTTTTTCTCTACTGCACTATTTCTTCAGAAATCCTCTGCTTGGTAAGAGTTTGTTCTCAGGATTATCTTTACACAATGCTTTAATGTTCTGTGTATATATATGCTTTGCGATGTCACTTTTGTTAACATTTTTAAGGTGTCAGTCTTACTGCTTCCAGGCCTGTCAGGATTTGCTTTACATTTGTGTTAATTAGGCTGCAGCTCTGATTAAGAAGATAAGCTCTCTGAAGATGAAAAGATTATACATGTGATACTATCTATTATTCCATTACTTTTTCGTCAATTAGTAAAGCTGCAAAGGCTTTGTTTTGCCTGTTTAATGGTAATTCATACTTTAAATATACAATTTAGTAGTAGTTAATTCTTGAGCAATAACAAACTGAAATATTATAAAATTTGTGTCAACAGGAAGTTTGTTTTAATATTTAAGGTCCTGTTTATGAATGTAGGTGCTTAAAAACATCTACATTAATGCTGCAAGGCATTTAAAAATCAGCACTTAAATTCCTTAACATAGTTCTGAATGCTAGCGAGAACATCCAAATACCAGAAAATTACATATCCAGTATACATTTGAAAATTGGACTACCCAAGTGAATTCTTTTACCAAGATAGAAATTTTGCACCCACTGTTCTGGAGACTTTCCCAGAAAAAGTAAATTGCCATGTTGATCTATATTCTCAGATGACATCTAATCTTTTTGATGCATATGATACATCATTTTTCTCTTCAGTGGCACTATACCTGCACTTCCAAGATTAGTCTACTTAACGTAGCTTTAGATGATTGTCTCTTTTATCATCTTCCCTTTTTGATAAGCCATAAACTGGCAGGTCACATGCACCTAACTGCCTCCTGGTCTTGCTTACCAATTCATTATATAGCTCTTTGTGACTGAATCACTAGATATCATAGAAGCAGTTAGAAAGCAGTAAGGTATTATTCAAAGAACATGCATTTAGGACTTTTGAAGAAATACAGCGTATTGCAAGCAACATGAAAATCCCCTTTTTCCAGTGCCTGCAATTGAGGCAGCTTTCAACACATTCCCAAAGAAAGGCAAACTTCATTAGAAATTGGACAGAATTTGAGAAAATATTGGTTGCACCTATGAAAACATACAGGTCTGTGTTATATGCATCCATTTTAAATAGCCATATAGATGAAAAACCATTATTTATGATAAATGACATTGAAACAGAAATTAGTGCTAAAGAATGGGAGACCAGCTATAACAGTGGTCCTCACACATCCATCTGCACAATGACAAAAGAAAATTATTTAAAAATCCTATACCTATGATACCTCACACCACTTAAAATTAAATGTATTTATGGTACAGGAACAGGCAACTGTTGGAGGGAGTATGGTCAGGTGGGAAGATCCTAGCTTATATGATGGATGGGTCGCAGAATCAAACCATTTTGGAAGAAGCTTGGAGACGTGACAAGGGAAGTAACAGGGTAGTAGCTATCAGATAACCCATTAGTGTTCTTATTGAACTTTCCTGAGAACTCTGAAACATATGGCCACATCCACAGAAGCGTGGATGTTTTGTTTTCCTAGGGGCAAGAAACAGTGGGCACACCTCGGGAATGGCTGTGCTGTGCGCCCTCTGGCGCACAGCAGGTTACCCTGGGTGCTGTAGGGGAGGCTGGAGCCAGCACTGCTTTTTTTTGTGTGTGGATATCCAGGTTTCAAAAAAAACCTCCCACACTACTACTTTGCAGCACAAAGAACAGCTGAATGTGCAGTATGCGGCACTACAGATGTCTGCAGCACCGCATACCACATGGCCATGCTCATCTGGACATGGCCTGTGAGTCCTAAGGAACTGAGCATTCATCTTCTAGTTGCTGTATGAATTACAGTTGCTAAAGCCTGGAAGAGAAGTGACACCCTCTGGTTTCAAAAAGTTTGGAAATTTTTAGTAAGAGAAAAAGTCTTCTATCCAGTAAGTGTTCTACAAGGCAGAAGGAAAAATGATGCTTACTTAGAAGTTTGTTGGAAATTCTTGGAATACGCAAAACAAAAAGCATCTTCATCTATCTGCCTTCAAGCAGAAAGTCTGAGAAACTTTGAATACTGAAGAAAGGTGCAAGTTCTGAGAACAAATTTGGAATAAATTTAAAATTAAAAGCAGATGATTACAAGATAGTGAGATTAGAAGATTGTGTTATACAGAGTTCTGAGGAAAAAGAGGGTGTGAATTTATTATACAGAAATTAAGAAACACAAAAACTTAATGTCAACTGAAATAAAGGAACTGTTAGAGACTGAAAGGAAGAGAAGAGAACACAAAACTCCTCTGGACACTGACTTGGCTTAAGAGAGCACTGTTGATGGAAGATAAATAGCTGTCTTTATGTATATTTTGGGGGATTGGATGCATCTTTAAATGTTACATTTGTTATTTGATCAGATGGATTTGTTAATACAGTAAAAAAAACCAAAGGAGCAGGAGGCAGTACCATGTAACAGATAACCAACAGGTGTTCTGTGGATGATCATTTGAAATTTGAACAGTTTTCACAGTTTTTATTAAATCTATATGTAAAAAATATGCTTGCCAAAATAAGTTAATTTCCTCTTGTTTTTAGGTAATGTATGAAGCCATTAAAATTCCAAAATGGATTCCCCTTTCAGATATGCACCCAATAGACTATTATTCTTCTTATACCAAGAACTGCACTGGGCACTTTACAGAGAAAGAAATCAGAGATATCAGAGCTTTTTATTATGCTATGTGTGCAGAGACAGATGCCATGCTTGGTAGGTGATACTCCATAATACAGAAAAGACTATTAAAGCTGTTGACAATTCTGATCAGACTTATTTTTTTGTAGAGAATCATTTGAGTTTGTATATTAAATGATTTCTTAGATATCATATAAAGGATGAATATGAAAAAGAACAAGGTGGATTGGGGTACAAGTTCTGGGAATACTGTCAGTTTTCAATTACTAGTGGGAATTCAGACCAGGATAGTATAGTGTTATATTGGCAAATCTTAATGGCAGCCATGGTAGGGGAGGTGGTAATGCACTAGGCACCATTCCTCATGGCTAAATGGTGGAAAAACTTACTGCTGCTTTGTTTAGTAATATCTGAAACAAAAAAAGATACTGCTCAAAACACAGACCAGCATGCAAGCCCTAGTTAAAGCTAAGTCCTATGGCTCAAGTTTACCTGGAGGCTGACTGCAAAGCATTGGGGTTGGGGCCTTGATTAAATGGTATCTTCATATGCAAGTGTGAAAGAAACTAGAAAAGCAGGGAATAAGCAAGGAGACAACAGAGAAAACACTGAGGAAGGAGAGTGATCACGGAGGAGGCTGACTTAGGTTCAGCAGCACAGTGAGGGTGGTGTCCTGGGTTCTGCCTTCAGAGGAAGATGGGGCACATGGGCCTTTGTGTCTCCACTGCTGTAGGCAAGAGGCTCTCAAGATTTGCCCGGTGCTCTGCAAATCCAAAAATGTTAAAAGTATATTTAAACAAATTGCTTTCAACATTTCTCTTGTTTCAGGTGAAATCATTTTGGCTCTGAGGGATACAGGACTTCTTAAAAGAACCATTATTATATTCACTGCAGATCATGGAGAACTAGCTATGGAACATCAGCAGTTTTATAAAATGAGCATGTATGAAGGAAGTTCCCATGTTCCTCTTCTAGTAATGGGGCCAAATATTAAAGCACAACGTCATGTATCAAATGTGGTCTCACTTGTGGATATTTATCCTACCATGCTCGGTAAGTAATTCAGTTTTGTTTGGAATACCAAAATCTCAGTGTTTCAGTTAAGTCAAATACAAATTAAAAGCAGTTACAATCAAAATCAGAGCTCTGTTGTTCTAAGTCAGTGATTCTCAGCAAGGGTGCCAATGCACCCTGGAGTGCCTTGCGGTGTGAGGAGATAAGCACAGGCTCAGGCTTGCCCCTGCCTAATTGATTCCCATCCTCACTGCCCAGCCTCTGTGCAAGAAGGTAAGCACTGTAATATATAAAGTAGATTAGAAATTAGGTGTGATTCAGTTTCTAAAAGTTATGGAGGAGTGCCTTGGGTCCATAAATGGGGTTGGGGTTTAAGCGCACCTGTATTACAAGATTCTTACAACAAGTGGGTGTAAAAACTAAATGGAGGCATTGAGAATAGGATGAGAATTACAGTCACAGAACCTAATGCTACAAAGACTAACAGTCTATGAAACAGCATGTGTCAAATGATTCAAAGCCTCCCCCCTCCCCATATAACATAAGAAACTTTGAAATACTAAACTATATACTAGTTACCTACCTAGCAATTTATTGTAGGTATCATCATATAAGGGGATCTAGGGTTGGATTTCAAGGTTCAGGTGTGATTAAGAATAAGAAAGGCTGGCCAAGAAGGATGAAGCTGGAGTAATTTGGCCATAAAACAAAAATACTTGAAAGCTTTAGTTAGAGCAATTTTAGCAGAACAGGCAATAGGAACCGGATAATGGAGGGTCTTGGATGAAACTGGGGGAAATGCATTTAATACCATGGTTACAGAAAGTACACTAAGTGACTTTAGAGGAGAAAGAAAGAATAGGAACATGTAATGGGTACAGAAGCTAGTGTATGAAAGGTGTATTTTTTGAGGCTACACATGTAAGTACATATTGTATTTTGAAGAGAACAGCCTTTCAACAGAAGACCAAAGAGTAGGGTAATGGAAGCATGGGAGTAGAGGTGAAGGAGGCCATGAGTTAAGAAAGATAGGGTTAACTGGAATTATTGGAAGGATTAAAGGAGGAAAATTGATGAGAGACCTCATTGAATGAGCCACTGCATCGGTGATCTAGCATTCATGGTCAAAAGTAAAAGATGAAAATAGGAGAAAAAGGGTGATGATGAAATAGAGTAGCATTTAAAATCAGAGAGAATGAAGGAAGCCCTTGATGACAAAAATATGGAGAGGAACAGAGGTATCAGGTACAAGGAAGAAAGCATTAAAAGGCATAGAAAAGAAAGATTAAAGGTGCCAGAAGTGGGTTAGACAGCAGTAAAAGTGAGGTAATACAAAAAGGATGAGAGGACCTGCATACTTTCTTCTCTGCCCTCTTTCCTGCCCCACCTTCCATTGTGGCACCTCCACTGCTATGATTTCCTCACTTCTCTGTCTCCATGATTCTTCCTTCTGATGCCTGTTTATACTGCTCTTTCTCTCCTGCCCACCATTGTCTTCTCCTTAAAGAAACTGCATATGTGCTAAAGTCATTCAGTTGACAAAACAGGCAAATTATTTTTTGTCCAAAGAACAAAGTACGGCAGAAACATGGTGCAAACGCACCCAATCTTTACTTTTATAACATGCCTCTGATGAGAAAGAACCCTTACACGACAGAAGATAGTTCAGTCTTCATGCAGAATATATCATGGGCCTCTCTTGAGAGTACAGTCAAGGATGTCAATACCTACTCTTTGGCAGTGTTAATTTTTATATTAACTGTTCTACTAAAGACAAGGGCTGGGATCACACGAGTCGGGTCATCAGATGATAATATTTGCCAATCCTATCTAGACCCTAATTTAACAGGCAATCAAGAAATTAAAGTTCTGCTTCATTTAACCAGTCTCCTGTGGTGTAAAAAATTGTATGTCCCAGATCTGGTACTTATATATAGGGACCTACTGAATTTGGGGCAGCTGCCCTGATTTTGTGGTTTGATTGCAGCACTGGTCACCATTTTTGCAGCAGAGCGTGGCACCCCCAGCACACACCTCTGACAGAGGGGCCCCAGAAGTCCCAGCCCTCCTCAGAGGGGAGGGGTGGGATTTCTGGGCCCCCTTGGCCAGACGCATGGGGGTGGGGGGGGTCACTATGCTCTGCCATGAAAATCTCCCCACCCCCATGCTTCAGGACACCAGGGCTTTCCTCCCCTTTCTATTTTTGCAGCATTCTCCTCCCCCCGCCCCACCCCCACTTGCTGCTGAGTTTGCACTTTTTCATAGGGACCTACCTATTTTCCAGTTTCCACGAAAATCATGAAATCACAAATTCAGTAGGTCCCTACTTATATACAAACACATACAAAACAGATTTTAAATCTCTCATTTGTCTCCTCCCCAAATAAGTTTCTTGGTCAAGTATTTAAAACCCTTCATTTTCAATCTCTTTTTCTGAAGTTTACATTTTAAAGACCTCTCCTTTCCTGTTCTCTCTTTCACTCTCCTTCTGTTCTGTCATTTTCTCCTTCTTGTAAGCCGCATTCCAAAAATAGAAACATAAATCAAGTAAAATTAAATTATTTAGGTAAGAAAAAATAAAAGCATGTCTGTCATCTCTTAGCCTTTCTGCCACACAATAATTCTGCCTAGTGATAAAACAGACTTGGATCTTTTTTCTGTGATAAATATAATCCCTTTGGTCTTATATGGTACAAGGAAGTATTTTCTCCCAAGGTACCATTTCATCTAAATATTTAGTTTCCTGAGAAATTGCCTACCCTACTGGATCACCTGCCTTCAGTACATACTATATTCTAAGGCTCATATTCCCAGCAAGAACTTTATAATAGGTATAATTTCTGTGAGAGTGCATCTGTTCTTCCATCTTGTAACAGGAAGGAGAATGTCCTCTCTTGGCTCCTGAATTGCTGGTCAGTGGGGAAGTGTTGTGGGGACATGGCCTTCATAGATTTCACAGACATTTGGGCTGGAAGAGACCCCGGAGGATCATCGAGTCCAGCCCCCTGCCCCAAGGGCAGGAAGTCAGCAGGGATCATAGGATCCCAGCAAGATAAGCATCCAAATGTGTTTTCAAGGCATTCAAAATGGGTGCTTGAACCGCCTCCAGCGGCAGTCTATTCCAAACCTTGGGGGCTCAGACAGTAAAGAAGTTCTTCCTTAAGTCCAGCCTGAATCGGTTGCAGTGGAGTTTGTGACCGTTCGATTTTGTCATTCCTTGGGGCGCTCTGGTGAACAAACATTCCCCCAGATCCTGATGAGCACCCCTGATAAATTTATAGGTGGCCACCAGATCGCCCTGAGCCTGCGTTTTTCTAGGCTGAAGAGTCTAATGGCTCTCAGCCTCTCATCATAAGGTCTGTTTTCCTGACCTCTGATCATGCTCTCCTCTGCATTCTCTCAAGCTTCTCCACATCCCTTTTGATTTGTGAAGCCCAAAATCATTTTGGAAAGGCTTGTGCCATTGAAGATCCCTAGGCTTTGAACAATGTTTGCACTTAACAGGACGCAGGTACTGCAGGTCTTCCCACGTGCTGCACAGGGATACGAGAAAGAAGCTTAAGTCCCATTTAGGACCGGGCATAGTCTAGCCCACAGCCTGGAAATTACTATTTTTCTTTTTATTGCTAAGGAAAAATTTTCTATTCACTATGGCAGGAAGCGGAAAGAGAGTTTGATGGCAAATGTATAGTTTGCAAAAGCAACTTAACAAAAGAGAGGGAATAGGGAAAAGAAAAAAAAAGCTACATACTACTGACGGGTTATGGGAAGAGAATTCACCAGCTAGGACTATCCATATAGAGGGTACCCTTAAAAATGAAGTGACCACTCCATGTACCTGCAATAACTTTTAGATAAAATATACATTACACAAATCTATCATGAGATAGGCAATGTTGAGTTCTTAATCAGTGTAGACTGTATTTGGAAAAATAATAAAAAAACAGTTCACATATGTAGTACTTTGATGTTAGTAGGCACTTTGGCATTTATATAGCGGAGAACCTTACTCATGCTAAGCTGCCTAAATAGAGAGCAGCACCAGGGCACATGCTCAAGACCCCTCTCACTGTCTACTATGCCTAAATGCCAATATTGGTCATATGCTGAGCAGAAGTGGACAGAGCTTGATTCTCAGCAGCAAAGACAGATATAAACCTTCCCCTAGCACATCTTAAAGACATTGCAGCCTCCTAATGATATCTGTTGAAATGAAAAAACACCCATACTGTGACTGAGCTGAGACAGGCCCCCACAGCTGCACTATGTAATATAAAATTGCATGGAATTTCTGTTATGCTGTGTACCAACAGAATAACCCTTTCTGCCAGGACTTCCACTCGCTCTGTCTTCTCATTAGCATTTGTAAGGAGGTGAGTAACCAGGGCTGAATTACTTTACCTCCCTGTATTTCGGCTTCCCCATTTGTAAAGTGGGGATATTGATACTGAGCTCCTTTTGGAAAATACTTTGTGATCCACTGATGAAAAACAATATATATGGGGTACAGTAGTTGCTAATGCAGTGCCTGTGGCAGAGGAATCCTCTTTCAGTTAATCCTTAATACTTATCTGCCTCTCTCAGCCTACATAAAGAGGCCAAAGCAAAGGTGAGGATCTTAAAGGTAAAGAAGCACCAGCTGTATGTGTCCAGTTAAGTGAAATTCAGGTTGCTGGGATAGCAGTGTAATGGAATTTCCCTGCGTTGTGGTTTTTATGCCTCAATGGTGGTATTCTAGTGTATGCTCTTTGATGGTGGTCTTACCAGGAACCAAATCTAGAGGACATGTATTAATTCAGCAGCATGTTCACTATGTACTGTATTCACTCAAATCCAAGATGAAGTTCCCCCCCCCACACACTCCCTACCAGTCAACCTAGGGGGAAAAAGCATCTCATCTTAGGTGTACCAAGCAGGGTGGGAGGGGACAGGCAGCTGCTGCAGCTCTGACTCAGGCCCTGAGCCCAGGTTGAAGCCAGTCAGACCCACATCAGCCTCCTCCCTGCCCCCTCCACTTGTTGACTGCACCTTCTGCCCAGTCCCTGCCCCACTCATTGTCATTAGCTCAGCGCCAGCCCAGGCTGGGTTTCCTTCCTGGCATGGAGCACATGGAAATCCTGTCCCCAGCCCAGCCAGTCAGCAGCGCTGACATTACTGCATGGCCCAGCAAGGGCTGAGCTTCCACATGCTGTGTTCTGGGAAGGAACAGAGCTCCAGCAGTATCTGACAGCTGGGTAGGATGTAGGGGAAGTGGGGAAGGAGAGACTGCAGAAAGCAGGGGTGAGGACGGGGCAGAGATTGTGGAGTGGAGGGGGAGGGGAAAAAGGCTATGGGGAGCTGGGAGTACAGGGGCAAGAAGGCTGCCTGACCCTCACCCCCCACCTTCTATTTTCCCTGCTGCAGCAGTTGGGGGGTAGGGGACAAATTTAAGACGATTCTTCAATAATTGTAACCAATTCATAATTTTTCCATATATAAAATCTAATTATTGGGTGGTCATCTTAAAATTCAGAGACAACGTAGATTTGAGTAAATACAGAACCAAGATTTCATTATTGTTACTAGCATTATTTAAGAGAAGGTTTAATAATGTTGGTCTTTGTTTAGATATAGCTGGAATCCCTCTCCCTCAAAACCTCAGTGGGTATTCCCTGATGCCTCTGTTATCTGAAAAGGCAGAAGATGAAACCTTATCCAGAAGCCCACATCCAACATGGGTACTAAGCGAGTTCCACGGATGCAATGTGAATTCTTCCACCTATATGCTTCGAACTGACAAATGGAAATATATTGCATATTCAAATGATCACTCTATTCCTCCTCAGCTCTTTGGTATATTAACAACTTTTACTTTACTATTTTTTTTAAATTTCTCAGTTTTGTTTAATTTAAAAAATACCTTGGCAAACTATTAACAGTTCTTTTTTGTTGCAGACCTTTTTGCTGATCCGGATGAACTAACAAACGTAGCTACAACATACGGGGAAGTAGCACAGTCCTTGGAGAAAAAACTTCATTCCATAATTGACTATCCAAAGGTCTCTGCTTCTGTCCATGAGTACAACAAGAAGCAGTTTATCAATTGGAAACAGAGTGTAGGACAGAACTACTCAAATATTATTGCAAACCTTAGGTGGCATCAAGACTGGTTAAAGGACCCAAAAAAGTATGAACGTGCAATTGATAAGTGGCTTAAATAGAACATTTCTGTATAGAAAAAAAAATACAGAAAGGAAGGGTTGACTCTGTTATATATCATTTCTGTGAAATAAATTAGTATAGTGAATGCACTCAAGAAATAAAATTATTAGAGTTGGGTACTTTGTGCCCAAAAGCTTGTCAAACTTCCTTCCCAATTATGTAGTTGTTCTAATAAAAGATAGTAGCAATGCAGTAATCCAAGGATTATCATCACAACCTTAATTTGAGATCCTTTAAAGCAATAATCATACAGGGCACGTCTACATATGACATTGTTGCTGTCTACATTGCTGTAGCAACGCACTATGGCAAGAGTGTCCGCAGGCAAAACCTGTGACACCGCAGTTACAATCACTGTAGCGAACGCGCTCCCCCAGTTGCATTGCTATGGCAACATAGTGCCTAAAAATAAATCAGGCACAGTACCGGCTGTAACTGCGCCATAGCAGCACGTGTAAATGTGCCCACAGACTTGGATTTTTCTTTTAGCAAGACATGTATTTTATATTAATCAATCATGTTACCAAGTCTACATTCAATCAGATGAAACTTTTAGTTCAAGATTAATCAGTTGTGATAGTTGGGAAGGAAAGTGCATAAATATAAATTCATTTCCATAAAATAGTCCTGATTATTGAGAAAATGTATGATGCTTTAAGCAATTAAACACTAAAACCCAATGAGAATTTGCATGTATAAGAGGCATTAAGACCTCAGGATATGACATAGTAGGGGACAGGTTATGGTAATGTATCGTGACATCAGGTTTGGGTCTGGATATATTTGCCTGGGTCAGCGAGCATACAGCTGTGAAAACAGCACCAGAAGGTATAATAATTAGTACAGGTCTGAAAAAAAATTCAGAGGTCCATTCTTGTATTTATCATTGCAACCTTCTCTATGCAGACCCAGTGGGACTCTTCCTCTCCAGAAGTGTCTTAATGGTTAGAAGCTGCCCACTAAGACTGGTGCCTGCTTTTGTGAACTTCTGAATTATATACAGATGACAAAAAAATCACAGAACAACAAATATACAAACAGAAAAAACAAGGTTTTGTATACTAGTGGAAACTAACCAAAACCCAAACGTGTGTGTAGAAATTTAAGCATCAGTAATTGCTTCTGTGCAGCAGAAAATAAAGACAGACTGTGTAAAGCCACAGTCCTGCTCTTAGCTCCTGCAGGTTGACATTTATTTCTTCATGAATCTGCATGCAAAATTAGGGCCTAAAATATACAAAAGAGATAGGATGCAGGGGATGCCTAAAGGAATGATGAACTTAGTTGTTACTATTCTGCATCACAATGTGGAGATGTATCACAGAAAATAAGCAGTGCTAAAAAAAATAAGCAGGAAATTAAATTAGTTTGTGATTAACGCTGTTTTTAATTAAATCCATCATTAAATCAGCATGTAAATGTACACTTTATTGTTGTACATAGCCATCTACAGAAGTAGCTATTTAAGGTCATATAATCCTTCATACTTAAAAACTGATTTATATAGCATCCTATAATAAAATCGGGCTGCTTGCAGAGATTTAAGAAAAAACAGCCACACTTTACCAGAAGTAGCACATTACTTCCACCTGACTCTGCAACATCTGAATAGATTGGGTGCTGCAGCAGGGCTTTTTGGCATTTTTAGCTAAAGCAGAGTTAATTGGCTATTAGATAAAAGTGCCAAAAAAGCCCCTCTAAAGTGCCCAATCTATACAGACATCGGGCACGCTGGGTCCGACTAAGGCACTGCCTCTTTTGGGCATGTGCAGGGCTCAGTACAGGAATGCACTGAGCTTAAACTAAAATGCTGTTTTTTATTTTGGGGGGGGGGGTTGTTTGTTTGTTTTTTTTAATGTCTGCAAGCAGCCTCAGTGATAAAATTAGGCTGGCAAAAATAGACATGAAAATACTACTTATTTATTGACTTAAACATGGTATATATATCCAATAACCTGTTTTGATAAACTGTTTTATAGCTATACTTTATTATACATTTGCACTAATAAAACCTTATATTTCACTTACTGTTGTTATAATATTTCTCCCTCAATTCTTGTTCCAAGTCTGAGATTATAAATAAATAGGCCAAAGCTATTCCTTGAGCAAAATAGTACACACAGTTCTTATTAAAATGGGTACACACTTCAAATACAGATGGAATCACTATCAGCAAAAATGAAAATTAGAAAAAAGATCAAATATCAGCAATGAATTGTAAACTGGCTATATAAATTGAAAAAAGAAATGTACTTCTGGGAAGGCCTAGACCAATCTGTATGGAAGGGAATTGCAAATCATCAACATTCAAAGATCTGGAAGGAGGTAACACACTGTACAGAATGTACAATAATAAAATAAAATTACCATAAGCTTTTGTTCCAGTGGTATTTAGTTACAAAGTATTTACAGAATTATCTAGAAGGGAAAATGATGTCTCGTTGGAAGATCAGGCAGAATAGTAATTTTCTCTGAAGCTAGCGAGCCTGCTTTGAAAGGTAGTTCTTGGTAGGCGTTTTATTCAAAGCGTTAACGCGTGCTAGCATTGGGGACAACTTTCTGGTGCAAGTGCTGGAGCTTGGCCCTGTTGTTCTTGACCTGCTGCTCACACACAGGGAAGAATTTAGTGGGGAATGTGGTAGTGGATGGCAGCTTGGACAGCAGTGACCACAAGATGACTGAGTTCAGGATCCTGAGGAAAGGAAGGAAGGAAGGAAAGCAGCAGAGTAAGGACCCTGGACTTCAGAAAAGCAGATTTTGACTCGCTCAGGGAACTTATGAGCAAGATCCCCTGGGAAGCCAGTCTGAGGGGAAGAGGAATCCAGGAGAGCTGGCTGTACTTTAGAGAAGCCTTACTGAGAGTGCAGGAACAAACCTTTCCAATGTGCAGGAAGACTAGCAAGTATGGCAGAAGACCAGCTTGGCTTAGCAGGGAACTCTTCAGTAAGCTAGATCACAAAAAGGCAGCTTATAAGTGGACACTTGGACAAACAGCTAGGGAGGAGTATAAGAGCATTGTTCGAGCATGCAGGGATGAAGTCAGGAAGGACAAAGTACAATTGGAGTTGCTAGCAAGGGATGTGAAGGGTAACAAGAAGGGTTTCTACAAGTATGTCAGTAACGAGCAAAATCAGGGAAAGTCTGGGCCCCTTGAATGGGAGAGGCAACCTAGTGACAAAGGACATAGAAAAGGCTGAAGCACTCAATGCCCTTTTCACCTCAGTCTTCACAGGCAAGGTCAGCTCCCAGACTACTGCATCTGGCAGCATAGTTTGGAGAGGAAGCGACCAGTCAACTGGAAAAAGAACAGGTTAGGAACTATTTAGAAAAGCTGGACATATACAAGTCCATAGGGCTGGATGGGACGCACCCTAGGGTGCTGAGCGAGTTGGCCAATGAGATTACAGGGCCACTGGCCATCATCTTTGAAAACTCATGGCGACTGGGAGAGATCCTGGACAATTGGAAAGGGGCAACTATAGTGCCCATATTTAAGGAAGGGAAAAAGGAGGATCCAGGGAGCTACACACCTGTCAGCCTCACCTCAGTTCCTGGAAAAATGGAGATCCTCAAGGAATCCATTTCTAAGCACTTGGAAGGAGAAGATGGTGATTAGGAACAGTCAGCATGGATTCACCAAGGGCAAGTCATGCCTGACCAACCTGATTGCCTTCTATGATGAGATAAGTGGCTCTGTGGATGCGTGGAGACCGGTGGATGTGGTATACCTTGACTTTAGCAAGGTTTTTGATATTGTCTCCCACAACATTCTCACAATCATCTATGGGTTAGATGAATAGACTGTAAGGTAAATAGAAAACTGGCTGGATCATGGGGCACAAAGGGTAGTAATCAATGGCTCGAAGTCTAGTTGGCAGCTAGTAGTAAGCGGAGTGCCCCAGGGGTTGGTCTTGGGGCCAGTTTTGTTCAATATCTTCGTCAATGATCTGTTAGATGGCACAGTGCACCCTCAGCAAGTTTGCAGATGACACCAAGTCAGGGAGAATAGTAGATATGCTGGAGGGTAGGGCTAGGATTCAGGCAGACCTCAACAAGTTGGAGGATTGGACCAAAAGAAATCTCACGAGGTTCAATAAGGACAAGTGCAAAGTCCTGCACTTAAGACAGAAGAAACCCATGCACCGTTACAGCCTGGGGATGACGACCTGGGTAGCAGTTCTGCAGAGAAGGACCTGGGTGTTACAGTGGACGATAAATTGAATATGAGCCAGCAGTGTGCCCTTGTTGCCAAGAAGCCTAGCAGCATACTGGGCTGCATTGGTAGGACTGCTGCCAGAAGATCAAGGAAAGTGATTATCAGGGATCCTGGTTTTCCCCAATTAAAAACTGCAAATTCTCCAATTAAAAACCCGAAGTCTGTGATAAAAATCAAAGGTTGCTCACAGCCCCTCCCAATGCTGCTGGTGCCCCGCACTCCCTCCCACCCAGTCTCAACAGCCCTCCTGATCCACAGACATGCAGACAGACACCGACACCCACCCCAGCAGGTAAGTGTGTGGCGGGAAGGGGCGGGGGAAAGGAAAGGTGCTAGGGGAGTAGATCAAGAAGGGGGGAGTGTGCCCCTGTGCCCACTCCCAGAAGCAGGGCCGGGGGGTGAGGACAGGGGTGCCACTCTGTGGACCACACACATACCGGCCGGCCTGACATGAGGTTCGCACACAGAGGCCACCACCGCAACTCTGCCACTGTGCCCTGCGCTACCATCCCACAGCCACCTGAATGGCTTTGTGGGCAAGTGGCACAGGGCGCAGCAGCAGCAGTGTGGTGGCAACCACCGTGTGCAGGCCACATATGTGCTGCCCAGCTGGGGGGTGAAATGGGGGCTTACATTCAGCGGCATGCCCCCCAATGGCTCTGTGGTGGCATCTGCATGCAGGGTGGAGGGGCTTTGCGGGCAAGCACTGCCACTGCAGAGCCATGCCCTTCGCCCCTAAATCCTAGAGGTAAGTGGGGTTCGAGGGCTGTGGGGCAAGGCTGGGGAAGATGGTTGGGGGCTGAGGGAGCAGGGGGTGGTGCCAACCCCAGGTGGCACATCGCAGCTGGGAGCAGGGCCAGGGGGTGAGGGCAGGGGTGCCCCTCTGCAGAGGGCTTCACAGGCAAGTGATGCAGGGCACAGTGTAGTGCCCACCACGTGTAGGCCACACACGTGTCACCCGGCCACCTGCCCAGGGGAGGGGGAGATGGAGGCTGGCATGCGGCTGGAGTACAGCTCCATGGCCAGCTCTGCAGTGAGGGATGGGGGTGCGGGGGCTTGGGCTTGCATGCAGTGCTGCCGCTTACCTGGAAGCCCATTATGGCGGTGATGGTCACTGCCTCCAAAACCTTCCACTGTCACCACACAGCTCTGCCTGGAGCTGTGCGGCTGGCTGCTGGGCGGCAGCAGCAGTGTGGTGGTGGCCAGGTGGCATGCAGCCATCCCCACCACCACCCCACGCTGCGCCGGTGCCTCCAGCTGCACAGCTCCGAGCACAGCTCCACAGCAGCAGGAGGTTTTATACACAGCAGCCGTCACCGCTGGCACGGGCAGCCCCACAGGCAAGCAGTAGCGGCCACCCATGCCAGCAGTGACTGCCTCTGTCTCCAAGGGTTTCCCGCCCTTTTTGCAATTGGCTCCTGCAGGCTGGAGCTGTGCCAGCCTGCAAGAGCTCTTTGCAAAAGCGGAGAATCTGTGGATTTCTCTGCTAAAAAGAGAAATCCATGTTTTCTCTGATAAAAACAGGGAATCTGGGTTTTCTCCATTTTTCTGTGGGAAACGGAAAACCCAGATCCCTGGTGATTATTCTGCTGTATTCACCACTGGTGAGGCCACATCTGTAGTACTGTGTCCAGTTTTGGGCCCCCCACTACAGAAGGGATGTGGACAAATTAGAGTCCAGTGGACAGCAACAAAAATGGTTAAGGGCACATGACTTATGAAGAGAGGCTGAGGGAACTGGGCGTATTTAATCTGAAGAGACGATTCAGAAGGGATTTAATAGCTGCCTTCAACTTCCTGAAGGGTGGTTCTAGGGCAGATGGAGCTAGACTGTTCTCGGTGGTGGCAGATGACAGAACAAGGAGCAATGGTCTCAAGTTGCAGTAAGGGAAGTTGAGTTTAGATATTAGGACAAAATTCCTTACTAGAAGGGTAGTAAAACACTGGAACAGTTTACCCAGAGAGGTTGAAGAATCTCCATCCTTGGTTACACAATGCCTTGGCTAGGAAGATCTAGTTGGGGATGGTCCTGCTTTGAGCAGGGGGGTTAGACTAGATGACCTCCTGAGTCCTCTTCCAGCCCTAATTTTTATGATTCTACTAGCCAAATGCCCAAAAGAAATGACCGGGG